TTTTTCAGCTAGAACACGTGTGGTTGTCTCCGTATTATTCTGTTTCCACACACTTCAGTGCTGTTACATTGATACTACTGCCTAGCGGAATCATTGTTCAAAGCCTGTATTGCCTTTCTTGTGGAAAATCCATGCTGAATTTTAGGTTGCTTTTTAAATGTAGGTGTTGTTACACCGTCATCAACACAAATTTAGATAATTTTGGAAGTGCCAAACTGGGTTGAGAGGGATGCAACATCCAAGCAGAAAGACCATGATACTCGATTCTTCCCCAACAGAAATCGACCACAATCCTTCTGAGCGCGAACGCAATGTATCTAACCACTAACCACAGATGCTGATGAAATAATGTTGGGTAAGTGTGAACCTTGGAAAGGAAGAGAACTCAGTAAAATTAATGTTTTTATTTTTGTGCTGGACAGCTGTGGCTTGGCTTAATCTGGCTCTGCCTTTTTCACATAGTGCACTGTCCGGTAGAAGTACCTTTTAACCACCCATTCGTGACTTACTGACTTGACCTGTTACGCACATCCGGGTCTCAGCTTTCTGGGTGGGGTGGGGCGGGAGAGAGGGAGGGGGGCATTTTGTTCCCCGTGACGTCATTCACGAAAGACATTTTACTTATCACTTACTTTGACTTTGAGAACGGGTGTCGAATTCAATATTACAGTTTATTAAATAGGTCTCACCACGGTGTGCCGTTATGTTTTCTAATCACCTTTTCTGTAAATAACACAAACGGAAATGACAGAAGGTGAGATTCGAACAAATATTGTGAAAGACTTACGGCGATATCCTTTGCCCATTCGTGCTGGACTACGATGCAAGCTACCTTAATTGGAACCCCAAACTGCACGTTTTCAACTATGGATGGTCCGAAGAGTTTTCACAGATCTGCAGCCTCTCGCCTCAGTTCAACTGGCAAAGAAAGTTAACCTCGTAGACTGCCTCTTAAATAACTTGACAGGATTGTAAGGGCCACTGAACTAATACGATAACCACTGTACACTATAGAAACAAATAACAAAGATTGACATTTACGTCACCGAAGAGTTGAAATAATATCACCAAAAAAACAAAAAACAAAGTTAATTTGCGAAAACTGTAAGGTCTGGCATCTGGCAGATGGGTTTTTGGAAAGGTTTGATGTATGAAAAAGCCAAGCGTTTGTCGGCTAAATGGATCTGTGTGTCAATTAGACACAGCCATGACAAACAACAGATGGGGGCTTCAATCAGTTCAGATGACTCGATTGTGTAATCGAAAGTATAATTGCTTCTTCGGTTTCGAATATGAAGACGAAACGTTCCACAAGAGAGTCAGGGGAGGTGGCTTATCAGCCTCCACCGGAGAGTCGTTGTAGCCGCCGCGGTACTTGACGACCATCCTATGACCACATATTATTATCTGTCCACCACACTTGTGCTGTCTGCTGTGCTGCAGTAGACGACCGCGGTTTGACCGTCTGCCAAATCACTGTCCAACATTGGCTGATTCCATTTCCGGTCCCTTGAGTGCTTTGCTCTGGTGTTCGGAAACGTGGGAGGAAAGAGCTTTAAATAATGTTTGTCGGGTGCCGCTTTTTTTTTCTTGCTCCCGCAGTCTGTCACTCTTTGTCTGTCACTCTGTCTTTTCTCTCTTTTATTCTCTCAATTTGATATTCTCCTTTTCAGCCCGTGTCAGCCTATACCTGTGTCTTGGTCTCTGTCGGTCTGCTGTTCTGTATTAATTCCTCATTTCTTCTTCCCTTTCTCTCTTTTTTTTCTCTCCAACCACCTTCTATCTCCTCTCCCATCCGTATCTCTCTCTCTCTCTCTCTCTCTCTCT